AAGCCCTGTGTTGGGCTCCCTGCTCAAGCAGGGAGGCTGCTTCTCCCTCTGCCTCTGCCCCCAGCTCGTGCACGCGCGCGCTCTAATAAATAAATAAAATCCTTAAAAAAAAAAAATAAAGCAAAAAGACAACTCATGGAGCAGGAGAAAATACCTGCAAATTATCTGACGAGGGTACAGTATTTACACTTAAAAAGAACTCTTACAATTCAACAATAAAAAGACAATCCAATGCTTAAAAAGTTAAAGGACTTGAATAGACCTATTATTTTTAAAATATTTATTTATGGGACACCTGGGTGGCTCAGTCGGTGAAGTGTCTGCCTTTGGCTCAGGTCAAGATCCTGGGGTCCTGGGATCGAGTCCTGCATCGGGCTCCCTGTTCAGTGGGGAGCCTGCTTCTCTCTCTGCCCCTCACCCCGCTTGTGCTCTCTCTCTCACATAAATAAAATCATTTTTTTTTAAGATTTTATTTATTCATTTGAGACAGAGAGAGAGAGAGAGAGAGCATGAGCAGGGGGAGAGGCAGAGGGAGAGGGAAAAGGAGGCTCCGGGCCGGGCAAGGAGCCCAACGCGGGGCTCGATCCCAGGACCCTGGGATCATGGCACAAGCTGAAGGCAGACGCCCAACCATCTGAGCCACCTAGGTGCCCCAATAAATAAAATCTTAAAAAAAAAAAAAAAGATTTGTTTTAGAGATAGAGTGCAAGAAATCGCGTGTGTGTGAGTTGGGGGGGGGACAGAGAGAGAGGGAGAAAGAATCTCAAGCAGACTCCCCGCTGAGTGCAGAGCCCGACCCAGGGCTCGATCCCACGACTCTGAGATCACGACCTGAGCCGAAACCAAGAGTCAGACACTTAACTGACTGAGCCACGCAGGAGCCCCCCAAGATAAAATCTATTAAAGGGCATTACTGTTTTATTATTTCCAGCAGAAGACTGCAAACAACCTCAGTGCCAATTACCAGGGGACTCGTTTAGTAACCAGCCTGCTGCCTGAAGGGACAAAGGCAGACGGAGCCCTGGGTGTGAGGGGCCGTGGGGTTCAGGGCACCTGCATGTTCGGGTTTCTGGCAGCCTGAGCAGGCGCGCTTGGGGCACGGGGGGCACGGCAGCCAGCGCCAGAGACCAGAGCCACCCCGGTGTGGCCCACACTGGGAACAGGTGCACAAATGTGTCATCGTGCTGGGGGGGGGGGGTGACAGCACATGCTTGTACTTGATCACAGATCTGGCGTCTGTCTGCCAGAACATCCCAGCAGCTCGTACGCGATGCTGGGGGCAGGGCGGGGGCCGGGAGAGGGCAGGAGGACAGACGCAGGAGAGACACTCCCTGCCATCGGTGTTTACACTCCCAAAGACAAACGTCCTGAGCGTTCAAACACTACGAAGCAGACGTGGAGCCTGTGACCCTCCTGTTACTGAAGTCGCCTCTCTAAAGCTCCGGCCGACACTCGCTCTAAACACCGTCTGAGAAGGGAACCCCGTGGTACAGAGCTTTCAGACCAACTCCATCAGCTGCTTCGAGCTCAGGGGCAAAGCACTGCTGTACGAGACATGCTCAGAAGCCGTGGTGCCGTTCTGGAAGGTTCCTGCGGTGAAGACACAAGCGGCGTGAGCCCACCCGCCAGCAGGTCAGCACAGACCACCCCCAGCTCCAGCAGGAAGCAGCACACCCAGGAGGAGAGAAATCTGCTTGTCGTCCGACGTACGTGCCGTGACTTTGCAGCAACATCGTGACGCTGTCCCCCCGAAAGGCAACCAGCCGGCGTGGCCGGGGCCTGGTCTCCGCTCCGCCACCCTTCTACCAGGCGGTCTGCGGCCTCGGCATGAGCGGAACAGCAGGTCTAGACTCCGAACCTCTGAGTTCCAAGTCCCAGCGTTAAAATGCCAGGGTTCAGCGGAATGCCAGGTTCCGAACCAGGCCCAGCCGACACCGGGGATGACAGCGAACACCTCTGTGGTGAGCGCGCCGCTCGGCGCCCGCCCCGAGGGCAGGAAGGGGCACCTGGCTGCCTTCCCCAGCGGAGTGGACGGAGCAAAGAGCTGACCACGCTTCCCTCACGCTCGAGGCCAGAGCTTCACCGTGAGTTTCTCCTCAGATTCTCCGGCAGAATGACAAACAGCAAAAAGGTGAAGCACTGCGCACAGGCTCTTTTCTGTCCTCCTCGACCCCCAAGGGGCAAGTCCGCTTCTAGGAAAATCGGCCCCAGAGGCGATGCTCTGCTGCTGGAGAAGCGGGGGCGCAGGGGTCCTGCGTCAGCACGCAGCCCTGCCCCCCGCCTCCGCGCACCCCCCCATCTGTGACTTTGTCACCACGCTGCCGTGACCGCAGCTACCCTCACGATGATATCTGACAGGTGCCACAGACAAATCCCAAAAACCAACACTGCTGACAGGCGGCTGGGACGGGCAACTCAGAGAAGAGCTGGAAGGCGGCCAGTCCACAAAGAACATGGCAACCCTGAGGAAAAAACCCTGAGACCAGCAAAAGCCAAGACACACAAAATAAACCTATTCCGGAATTTTAAGCGAGTCATGGCTAAAATGCTTAGATCGCTAAAAAAATGAGAGACCACAAAATTTTAGGAGAAGGCTGCAGTGTGGGAATAAGGGGGAACGTGGAAGTTGCTAAGAGACTAAATCCCGAGAGCTCACGCCCCAAGAGAAAACTCCGTTCCTACGTGCGGTGACAGGTGTTAACCAGATTCCCGCAGACACGGGGATCAGATCGCCAGGCTGTGCACCTGAAACCGGCACGTCAGCTGTGCCTCAGCTAAAAAGACCAAGCAACACAGTAACCTGGACAGAAGACACCACTGGGAGAGGGGGAGGAGGAGGAGGGGGAGGATGGGAGAGGAAGAGGAGGAGAGGGGGAGGAGGAGGAGGAGGAGAAGGAGGAGGAGGAGGAGGAGGCGGCGGCGGCTTCCCTCGCATCAGCGATGAGGCTGGCCTGGCAGAGATGCGGTCAGCAGGTGTCACGCGGAACACGGTTCCTCCAGTGTGGCGCCGCCATCACTGGGCTCGCGCGCACACCTCTGCGGGCCGGGAGCGCTGGCCCCGGAGACCCCGGACAAGTCCTGTCCAGCACGGCCACAGGTGCCTCCGGGGGCGGGAAGGAAGGCGCCGGGCAGGGCCCGAGCAAACAGGGCACCCGCTGACGCAGCGCACGCCACCTGCCACTCCCGAGCAGCCCCACCGGTGCCAACGGTCACTGCCCGAGCCCAGCGGACGTCAGCCCCAGAGCGGCAATCTTGGCCGAGCCCTGGGGACCATCACGTGCCCAGGAAATGTCTCGCGTGAGAACAAGCAAAACCCAGGGCTACACTGGGTGAAGGTCAGGACACCCACACTGGAGGGAAGCGTGGATCTGACCCCCAGGCATGATGGCCTGTCCCTTCGGCAATGTGATGAAGGGCAGCAGGACCCCCGCTATACAGGGCTCGCGGCAGAGTCAGGAGACACGCTGACATCACCAGCATGTCCGCCTCCCGGGCGGAAAGGACAGCGGGAGAGGCCAGGTCACCCGGGTCTCCAGAGTCAAAGAGAGAATCACTAGTTTTGGGCTGGGTCTGACACAAGTCCTTTGGAGAAAGCTCCACAAGTTCACAGACAGGCCAGACAAGCAGACCAGCAAAGTCCGCAGCCAACACTTTTCGTAACTCCTTCACCTACACACAAAGCAATGCCACCAAAAAATAAGCCCTAGATCAACACCTGCCCGTAAAACCCCAGAAGATGCCGGGCAAAGTACTCCCCCAGGAAGGTCGGCCTGCACCAGAGGGGACATGGTCACCAGAGCCAGATCCCGGAGGGATGACCCCCAGTCACCAGGTCGTGCCTTGGATCCCGAAGTCCACCTGGCCAGGGGTCACGGACCCCGGTGAGATCTCCTCAGACAGGGTGGGAAGAGGGGTAAAGCGGGGAACGAGTGCATGGTGCCAGGACAGCCAGCCGCACACCAGACACGGAGCCACGGAGCCCGTGCGGCAGAACGGGCCGCCCTCATCGACGCACGGGGCGGGACTGTTCCAGGTAGAGCGCGGGCAGTCTGGGGCCGGCACCTTGAGACGGGGGGCCCGGAGGGGCTAACTCACCGCCCGGCCTGGCTCTGGCTCACACGTGTCCAGACCAGCAGGAGCCGGTACTTCACGTGGCGGCCGTTTCCAGAAAATGTGCGTGAACTCACAGACGAGCTCTGTTGTACGCGCTGTGGGACCTGCTCTTGGGAAGAAGCCAGCAGCGCTGGTCTCTGACCAGTGGGAAAGCAGCCTGAGCTTCGGGGGCTGACACCCCCGCACCGACCACAGCCTCATCCCCCCATCGCCAGCCAGACACACTCTGAGTGCCCTCAGTGCAGGCACGGCAAGAGTGGGGGACGCGGTGCGCTCCCTGTGTCAGCTCGGGAGGCTGAGCAACCCCTGGGCCTCACTTTCCCGCCTACGGACATGGAAGGTGCGGCTCGCTTTGCAGGCCGCAGGCTCTCGTGACGGCTGATGCGAGGAGGACGTGCTTTCTCCGCAAGTATCAGAATTCTTTACGTTGAAGGGATTATGATAAAAAGCCCCGTTTCACAAACCACATGGGGCTTTTTCCTTTAAAGTGAAGCCCACCCACTTAGAAAAAGTAAACATCTCTCTCCCACTAAAAGATTAAATTTCTGCTCACGCTCACGGAGGTGGAGAGACCCAGTGGAGCTGTGAGTACCACCGCTCCCACCTGACGTGGCCGCTGTCCGTGGGGGAGCCCCGCAGAGCCCAGGGGTCCCTGCTCGGGACACCACCTTCTCCATCTGTGACACACGCGTATCGACCACCCCGCCTCCTTTGTGGCGCCTGCCACGAAGACGCCGAGCCACGACCCACAGGTGACAGCGGAACGAACCACCAGCCACCGGGCATGCTCGCACAGCAGGGCAAGCCTGGGCGGGGCACCGCCGCCCCCGATTCCTGCGCCTGAGGTCTGAAGCCGAGCAGAGAGGCTGGAGGCGCCCCGCGGTTACCTGCCTGCCCTTCACCACGTGCTTGGGCACCGGCACCTTGAGCTCCAGGTCGGTGTAGTCCTGCGACCAGGTGTAGTTCTCACGCACGGCACCATTGTAGCTGTCGGGGTTTCTCTGGAACTGCTCCTGCCTCCTGGGGAAGAGCAACAGGTGAGATGCACCCAGGCCCAGACGCAGGAGCGCCGCGGCCCCACCGCATGCCCGGCCCGCCCCCGCACGCCGTGGTCCCCCCACCGCACGCCCAGGCCCCACCGCACACCACAGCCCCCCACCACAGACCCAGCACCCACTGCAGGCCTGGTCCCCACTGCACGCCCGGGCCCCGACCGCGTACCCACGCCCACACATCTCCAGCTCCTGAGAAGCTGAGTCTCACACTTCCTGACCCTCCTACTCAGGCCTCCTAGGAAACTGCGGGGACAAAGGGACACTGCAGGGAAGCCCCTGAGGGCACCACCCGCGGGTTGGGGACAGCACCCGCGGGTTGGGGACAGCATCCGCAGCCCGGCTCCACAGAACGGCGGGCCTGCTGCCGGGCTTCCCGAAGCTCACGGACCAGGCCCGTCGCTCAACCAAAGGGTGGCAGTAATGAAGTCCCGGGGCTCCTGCTTTCTCACCACTGCTCGGCAGGGCCTAGCTCCACAAAACAGCAGAACAACTTCAGCCCGCAGCCGCTCGGCTTCCACGCTAACCCACCACAGCCTCGGCTTTCTCCTGGTGACGAGCGCCCAGCGAGGGCAACACACCAAAGCCCGGGCTACCTGGAAAACCCACCAGCCACGCCGCCTGTCCCTGCAGGGCCCGCCCAGCCCAGACGCAGACACGCCTGGCCAAGCAGCGGATGGCACGAACAAAATACGGTAGAACGTTTGCTGTTAAACGGAACGGTGCTCACAACAGCAAAAATAGCATTATAAAAGTAAGTTTGGACTCACAAGCCCTCTACGGTGAGTTCTGCACCTAAATTAAAGACAGAAGCCCAGTCACAGAAGTGCAGCTCAGCCACCTTCTCCAGCCCTTCGGACACCCCGTGGGGGGACACGGCACCGTGCAGGTCCTCCTCGGTGCACGTGAAGACACGTGGAAGAGGCTTGCAGCGCATGCAGGCCATCAGCCCCTCACCTCTGCCAGGTGGTGGTTCACGGGGAGGCACTTTTTCTGGCTGAAGCGTCAGGACGAGAATGTGTTTACCTCCGGTGGGTATGCCTCACGCGCCTTAGATGGGAGGCCGGGCATCCGTCACAGCCCGCCCATCGGGGCTGGCAAGTGGCTGCCGTTAGGGCCCGAGGTGTGACCCCCAAAATCCTATGTCGTCCTAACTTCCAGCACCTCAGAATGTGCTCTACTTCCAAGTTAAAATGAGGTCATCGGGGGCCCTGACCCAATCTGCGTCCTTCACAAGGAGAGACCAGGACACGAAGATGCGCTCAGAGGGACGATGGCATCAACACGGCCGTGCGGCCGCGGGCCACAAGGGCTGAGGGCTGTCTGACTCCGCAGAAGCTGCGAAGAGGCCAGGAGGACCCTCCCCAGAGGCTGGGAGTGAGCTCGGGAGAGAGCCGCAGAGAGCAGGGTGGAAGAGGCAGGAGAGGTCCGGGCCAGGCCCGCTGGACACCGGCCACAACACACACGTGCACAGGCCGCCCAGCCCCAGGAGCAAAGCACCCGGCGTGCGGCTGAGTGCGGCCCAGGCCCGCTCCCTAGAAGGAACACGCACGTGCGTCCGTGCCCACGGACAGGCCTGTTAAGTCTCCGTGGGGTCTCCGGGTGGTACAGCAACGAGCAGTCTGCCTTTCTTCTCTTGGCCATTACCCAAGTTCCGCACAACACAGACATGTGATCAAGAGAAACACAGCTCTTTTTAAGACAGGGGGCGGCAATCCGCCTTGCGGCCCCACGACCGGGCAGCTCTGCCACGACCACTCCAGCCTGCTGGCACCTCCACACCTCAGACGGGGCCCGGGGAGACGGCACCTGCCCCCCCAAACCGCTCTAGCACCCACTGCAGCTTGAGAGCTCATATCAGATGGACCACACTCGAATGTGCGGACAACAGCTCCAGCAAAGCCGACCGGGATGAAGCCGGGAGACGCACCCTCACTGCACGGCCTTCGGAACCGCGCGCATTAACTATTTGAAATCATCAACCACATGGAAACACGGACGTAAGATACACACAAAATAAAGGCCAGCACTGGCAGAAATCGAGAAATAAACCGCGGGACCTCTCACGGTGGTGGGGCGGCTGCGTCCCGCACCCAGCACGGAGCCCTCACCGGCTGGGGTCCACACGACCCCCCAGCCGTAACGCACAGCAGACACCAGCGGAGACGCCACAGGGCCACGCGCAAGGGGCCACCTGCCCGCGGAGCTGAGCTGTCCCAGAGCTGGGCGCTCACAAGAGGGGCTCTGGCCCCAGCACTGCAGGGCGGGCAGCCAGGCAGGCACCCGGCCGGCTCACCCCGAGCGGACCCGCGGCCTCCCCCGCACGGAGCCGGGCACACTGCTGGGTGCTTTTTTAAACACTTGGAATCTACATTCTCTTTAAATAAAGTCGATTATTTCCAGCCAACAGTGTGTAAAAATAAGCCTCCTGTCATGTGCAGGTGCTCCAGGCCCCCCTCGCCTTGTCATCCCCGCCGGGCCTGGAGCCACGCCCCTGCAGCTGCCGAGGAGCACGCTGGGGGTGGGGAGCAGGGAGGAGCGTGAGTCAGCAGCCGGGGTGCAGGCGGCAGGCAGGCCTCCCTACGGCGCCCACGTCCAAGGAGCCCATCAGCCCCGTGACAGCGTCCTGACCGTGTGTTAAAGGGAAAGTGAGGCCAGGCTCCTCGCGCTGCGGGCACCACAACCAGCAACAGCCGCGCAGGGGGGAGCTCTGCGGGGCCCCTCCCTCCGTGCCCCAGTGCGTGGCAGGAACCAAGGGCCTCCTTCCTTCCCGAGTTCAGAACCGCAGTGGTCAGGATGGGAAGTGGTGGGTAAGGGGGTCCCAGACCCAACATAAAGGCGTCTGTGCAGAAGGCTCAAGTACGCACGGGGAATGGGGACCAGTGTATAAGTGGGGGCACGGGGGCCGCCCTCAGGCCCCTCCCCAGGTTCTGGGACGGTGTACCCAGTGGAGGGACGTACCCAGTGGAGGGACCAGGGCCCGAGCGTGTGCATGTTTAAGCAGTTAATTCTCTCCCTCCCCGACATCTCCATCTCTCCCACTGACCTCCTGCTCACTGGTCCCACCACATCCGGCCCCGGACAGGAGCCACAGCAGGTGCGGACGCAGGGATTCTTCTCTGGGTTTCTGCATTTCGCAAGCTGGAGGAGGTGAGCCCTCCCTTGGAGGCGAATGCCCTGCTTCAGAGCCTCACGCCAACCGTGCCCTGCTGGAAGCAGGTCCACAGGCCCCGTCTCGGCACCGAGACGTGACTGCCACACTCACCGTGCCGCTTGGAAAGGAAGGGTCCGACTGCAGAGTGTGTGCACAGTGACCCACCCAGAGGGCTCCGCACCAGGCAGGCCCACCGTGCTCACGGCCTCCCTTCCCAGCAGCACCCGCCCGCCCTCCTGCCCCCCCGCACCTACAGGTTCCTTTCCAGCGGCCACCTCTTCCCAGCTCCTGGAGCAGCAGAAGCCCACAGCATCGGGTGCCCTGCTCCAGGCCCAGCTCCCCGCACACCAGCTCCGTGCGGTCCAGGCACCTCCCTGACATCCACTGTCCCCTCCTGCCCAGGGTCACTGTCGCCATCACACTGGGGTCGCCATCCTCTTCAGTGCATTCCCGCCTGGAAAGACAGTCTGGCTCAGGACACAGGCCTGTCAGTCCACTTTCACAAGGAAGGGAGGCTACCTGGCCCTCTGGGGCACTTGGGGAGACAAGCTGCACATCCTGCCTAAGAAATCTATACTTTACCCTTCCCCTTCTTTAAAATCTAGCTTCAGTAATTCTCTCTCCACCTAGCATCACCAGTTCAGCATCTATCAGCAGTCTTCCCAGACGGGAGCGGCCCGCGTCACACAGGGACCAGAGCCTGAGCAAAAGGACACCACTCAAAATGAGGAGGCCCCAAGAAAGGGACACACGAGCTGGCCCAACACGAGACAATCTGAATCTCAAAGAGAACAACGTCAGGGCACAGGAGTGCCTCAATCAGTTTGGGCATCCAACTCTTGATTTTGGCTCAGGTCAGGATCTCAAGGCTGTGAGACTGAGCCCCGTGTCAGGCTCCGTGCTGGACGTGGAGCCTGCCTAGGGTTCTCTGCCCCCCGCATCAAAAAAAAACAACGTCCATAAAAGACTGAAGCATGTGATGTATTCAAAGGTCCATAAGCTCATGAAACAAAAGCCCATCGTCCCCTTGATGGCCAGAGTACAACTCCATCTGAAAATTAATAAAACGGTTCTGCAGGAACCAGAATTTCAAAAAGCCAAGTCCCTCCATCAGGACTCCAGACAGTCAATGAAGAAGGCAGACCAGCATGAGAAAGTCACCATTTCGTCACCTGCACTGGAAACGGCGGGGGGAGGGTCTGCCCACAGAAGGGTCCAGAACACCAATGTCCACAATGCTAGACACCAGGCGCGTCCTGCGATGTCCCACCTTTGTGACAGTCCCCAACACCAGGCCAAAAACCCACCACATCCTGCCAGGGTACGTGGGCAGGAGCAGAGAACATGGTCACAAGAGCCGTGAACGCACTGGCAGCCCAGTCCAGAACGTGGGAAAGTCTAACAGACAAAGTTCCAAGTTTCCGTACAAATAAACAGCAAGAGATTAAAGAGGGAAGGAGAAGTATTCTAAATCAGGAGGCTTAGAAGACGCAGCAAGCAAACGCCACGGTGGGGCCTGCTGGAACGCGAATCTGAAAAACCAGTTGTGAGAAAGCTCCGTGAGACAATCGAGAAGAAGCGGCCATGGACTGGGCGTTAGGTGACCCTAGGAAATTCACGACAGTTACAGTAAGCTTCAGTCCTATTTTTACTGAAGTATGTATAAGTGAAATTTCATGACTTCTGGATTTGTCCTCTCAAAACCAAAACCAAAACAAGTCTGGGGTAGGGAAAGACAGAACAGGGATCGAGAATGCCAGGTGAGGAAGCAGAGAGAAGCTTCGGGGGCACTGTGGTTCTCTTCTTCCGCGGAA